TATTAAAAGCTGCGAAATTCTGCGTGCGAAAGTGAAAAATGTCTAAAGATAGCAGTTTAACATTGGTAGAAGCACGTGAGTGGCAGATGTGATTAGGTTTAAGATTACAACAAAAAGAATTCTTACAAATGGTGTTTAAATTAATTTTTAAAATTGAATATAAATGAGAAAAATGTCATACAGAAATGGATTAGGTGTCACTGAGAAGATATTTTTTTTAATTTTAAGAGAGTGTAAAAATAGTTTCTGTACGATGATACGTTCCAAAGTTATGGCAGAAAAACGCTAAACCTTTTAACCCCCTTTCACCCCCTTTAAGTGGAGTTTTTTAATTGCATAGTTAATCCTAAGTGCTAAGGAACATGTGTGCCAAATTTCGTTCTAATCCGTCAAGTGGTGGGAATTGTATAAGGTACAAACACACAAAGAAACAAAAAACAGATATTGAATTTTATATACAGTGGCTCCCAAAAGTGTTCGTACACTTACGATTTTCAATGAAATAGGGCTCTATCCATTAATTAAAATTAATATTTCAGAATAGGTATTTAATAATAAGATCAATAATCTGTTCTTATCAAAAGTACATGAAATATTTTTAAAATATAGTAAAACTTTATTTTTAAGAAAACAATAATCAAAAAGTAACAAAAACCTCATCTCACAAAAGTCTTCGTACACTAAAATATTTTCGGATAAATTCATAATTTAAATTATCGTCTGTCGCTTTATTTTTATTTTTGCATTGTGGTGGCATTTAAAAAATCGTTTGGCTTTAATTTTTGCTTGCTTACACCGTAATATTCTATTTATTATTTGAAAATGGCTCGTAATCTTAAACAAACAACAATCAGCATTCGAAAATTGATTATTTTTCATCATAGCAGTGGTAAATCAGTTCGGAATATTGCTAAATTAGTTATTTTATCCCTTTTTACAGTGCAGTATGTGCTAAAACGCTTTAAAGAAGAAAATTGGATCGAAAACAAGGTAAGAAAAGGTCGACCGGCAAAGTTAACAAAACTTGATCAGAGATTTATAATTAGAAAATTTGTGAAAAATCCACGTTTGAATGCTTTAAAAGTTTCTGCAGAATTTAATGAAAAATTTTCTACTTCTCAATTTCACTTGAAACTGTTCGACGAGTTCTTAGAGCAGCTGGATTAAATGGGCGTTCTGCCCGTAGAAAATGTTTTGTTAGTGCGAAATCAGAAAGCTTAGGCTTTCCTTCGCAAAATCAATGTTAAATAAACCCGAAACGTATTGGAATAATGTCTTATTTGCAGATGAAAGCAAATTTAACATTTTTGGTTCCGATAGACATATAATGGTATGGAGAAGGAAAAATGAGGATCTTAATCCCAAGAACTTAGTTGGAACAGTTAAGTATCGCGGTAGAGATGTCCTTGTGTGGGGGTGCATGTCAGCATCAGGACTAGGCAAATTGGTATTTATAGATGGCATAATGAATCATTCTCTTTATTTAAATTTTTTAAGAAACAATTTAAAATTATCAGCCCAAAATTTGGGTATTGGAAACAACTTAGTTTTTTATAAAGATAACGATGCTAAGCACAGCGATCCTCAACGTTCGCCTCTGGTGTCTCTATAATTGTCCACAAAATTTGAAAACACCACCTCAGTCGCCATATTCAAACCCAATAGAACATATTTGGAGAGAACTGGAGGTTACAGTATGAAAACACGACATTAAAACAAAAGGCGAACTAAAAACAGCAATTGTGAAAGAATTGATTGATACAGAAATTACAAAAAAAAAAAGTGTGAAATCTATTCCCAAACGTTTAAAAGCGGTTGTGGATGCTAAAGCATATCCTACTAAATATTAATTTAACAAAAAATTAGAATATTTTCTAATATGTAGAGATTTTTTTAAAGTGTACGAAGACTTTTGTGAAATAAAGTTTTTGTTACTTTTTGATTATTGATTTCTTAAAAATAAAGTTTTACTATGTTTTTAAAATATTTATGTAGTTTTGTTAAGAATAGATTATAGATCTTATTATTAAATACCTATTCTGAAATATTAATTTTAATTAATGGATAGAACCCTATTTCATTGAAAATGGTAAGTGTACGAACACTTTTGGGAGCCACTGTATATAGATTAGAAACATTTTATTTTATTTAGTTTATATTCTGTTACGGGTTGTAAATACTTTTATACAAGAAATCTGAAAATGTCACATACAGTAGAACCCCGGGAATCGGAACTCCAGGAATTCGAACCTTTTTTTTTTATTTTCTGAAAACTTTTTACAGAAAAATTAAGGAAAAATGACAATTACGAATCAGAAACAAAGCTAATGTTTATATCTAACTTAAAAGAAATATTCAAAGTGGTCTTTAAGAATGAATACAGTACCTTAATTAGTAGAAATAAACTCAGGTATCCTTCTTTTTACCCTCAACTTGTTTGCCTCTTTATCGTACGAATCGCAACGTGCTCTTTCCGTACGCTTTTACAGAACAGTTAATCAGGAGTATTTTACCGAATTTCCCGGAATCCGAACCAAGGTCAGCCCCAATTAGTTTCGATTCCCGGGGTTCTACTGTACATAAATTCCATGATTCCCTACCTTCATCCCAACGCATCCATATATATTTTCCCCTCTGAATTACTAAAGCAAAGGAAGAGAATACTCCACTACTGGTTTCTCCAACAAACCGATTCTGAATTGTTTCTGCTAACGGTTTATAACCAGCGGGAGTGGTCGCCCCTAAACTTTCTTTTATACTTACTTCCCAAAAAGGTGTCATTTTCCCTCTAACTTGGGTTGCCATACGTCCCGTATACTATTTTTCCCGGTTGTTTCCTAAACTCTGAGTCATTATAATTTTAAAATGATCTGCGCCCATTTTTATGATTATGTGTAGAAGGAAAATGATAACAATTTAAAAAAATGCGTAAGTTCTCAATTTTTACGCGCGCTGAGGTACCACAACTTTATTTAAAGTTTTTGAGATCGAAATCTTACTATAAATATCATGCAAGATTTCACCATACCTTCCAACTGGAGAATGTCAGAACGAAGTTTCGGGTACAGGGGGTTGCCATAATTTCCGAAGCTACAATACTTCGTAGACAGCCAAGGTCAAAAGCCAACTATACTAACTTGAGTAAAATAAGCGAAACGCTCGCCAACACACAGTCGCAATGTGCATTTTGAACCAAATATGCAATTTGAACATCTTTTTTTTCAATGGAATGAAACGAAATTTCAGCACAGATCTATAATTTATATTAGCAAACTTCATACCAATTTTTATTTATCTAAGCCAAAGGGTTTAGGAGATATAATTTTTACAAGTATGCGATTATACAGACAGACAGACAGTCAACTCTTTGACGGATTTGGCCCAAAATTTTATATGGACCTACATTCATGATGATAAAACTGTGTACCAAATTTTATTCATCTAACTATTCAGGTTTTTGAGTTATAGTGTTCACATGACCGCGGACAGACAGACAGACTTCATGCGGACGGATTTTGTCCAAACTTTGATGGAAACCTACAAATTATGTGTCAAGTTCACATACCAAATTTCATCCCTGTATCTCTAATAGTTTTCGAGTTATCGTGTTCACAGACATACAGACACACGGACACACAGACAGACATAATTCCAAAATTGTGTTTTTCGGACTGAGGGAGGTCGTCAAAATCTCGAGTTCGAATTTTTTGGCGATTACAATACTTTCTCTTTGTATACTTCGTATACGAGAAAGTAAAAAGGGGACTATTCAATTTTGTATTCTCTCTCTCGACGGGAGAATTTGGAAAGGAAACGTCTCGGCCGTGTGCCTGTACGTTTGGTTTTACATTTCTCTTTACCTCTATGTTTTCTTTCCTCCAAACACTGGAGATGCAAGAGAATTTGTTAAGAGCAAATAGTTGTTTTTCTATTTTTTAGTTCGAGAGTTTCTGACTCCATGACTCTTGGATGAGGTAAATGAGATTTCTGGAAAGTGCCGCATAATGAAACTGTTGGTTGCAAAACAACCAAAATATTTTAACTGGACTTTTTAAAACGTGAAAAAGCAATTTTGTGTATAATGTTACGAGATCGTTCTGTAGTAAATCTTAAATCATTTTTTAACTTGCGATTAAAATTATATTCAATTTAAAACAAATCTGCGTTTATCAAACTTTGTTATATTCAAAAACCATTAGTTCGCAAAACCAGAAAGAGGTTTTCTAATACAGGGAAGTTAAAATAAAACACGTCTACTATATAAAATGCCTGAAAAATCTAAAAGTTCAGTACTTATAAAAAAATTTTGTCATTTTGTTTAACATGATTGATTTTACACTCGAATGTTCCGTTCAAAGCATTTTCTCGGGATGCGTTGCCATTGATGTGTTTAGCAACACTGTGATTTTGAATTGAAATTAGGATGGAAATATCTATCGAATGGAAATCAACTTAATTTTGATAATGCGAAAATATCGAAATTTGAATTTGTGTGATGATGCTTTGAGGTTTTTACGGTGAAATTTGCAAGGGATTTTGAAAATGAACGTAAACAAAGTTTCTGCATTAAACATTTCATAGTATGCTTTTCGGATTTTAAAAAAGTCAATAGTCTCTCATATTTATCTAGCTTCCACAATGATAGTCTGAACTCTATTTTCGGAAGGAATAAAACTTTCCTTATTTTAGGGATCTTACAATTAAAAGTCCGGAAAATTTTAAATAATTTATGCTTAATATATACCAATTACAAAAGACGACGGTACAGCAGTGCAAATTTTAATAGCGTCATATTGAGTATTTGATATACGTACGGTCAGGGGATGCAAAAGAAAGCAGAATACTAGCAATCGCTGAAATATTTTTTATTAACAAGGTCTTTCATTAGAAACGAATTTTCTTTTTCCACCATCTCTAAGAAATCGCAAAAATTGAACTTATTTCTGTATTCAACATCCGTATCCAATCCTGCTGAAGAGTGACTTCCGCGATCTCCTCCAGCCACCATAGCTCAGAGGTTAGAGCACTGGTATCGTAAACCAGGGGTCGCGACTTCGAATCTCACTGGTGGCTTGTTTTTCAGTGTCTTATACATACAATAGATATTCAGCAGGATTTGTTTCATGCTCGGTTGTTGGTTTATAACTGTGCGTAAACCTGTTAAAAACATAGGTTCGTTATCTCCCATATGTTCATCGTATATCTTATTTTACTTCTAATCGTTTACCATAACTCCTAATATCTATTTTTACTGAAAGGATTTGGTGGTTTTCCAAAATTAGTTGTGTTTCTCAAAACCATTGGTGTTTCCGACAGTCTATAAAATTTTAACCTAATATATATGATCACATTAATTTTTCAGAATGTCCAAAAACTTTTTTGACTGTTTTTAAAATGAAATGGGAAGAAACTACATCCGTTTTAAAGTTTTTCTAGGAGGAAATTAACAAATGATGCCGGGAATTTTTATGCTGCGTTTCGTTTCGCTTTTTCCAAATACAAGAGTTGGAAATTTAATTGGGGCAACTGTTCAATCACAGTCGATATAACATTGGTACCAGCTTGCAACATTTATAGTCAGTCAATGTAGTCATTGGCGTTGTGTTTGTTTCCAGGGGCGCGGAATTCGTAGAATACCCGGAGCAATAATACAGGGTGATCCTAAATTATTGGACCCATTTCAAAAATTAATAAAAAGAACCTGATAATATTATAACTACGGTTTTTTTTAAAAATGAGAGCGCATTTAAAAAAATTTCTTTTCAGTTAGGTAACCTGCCGTTACGGTGGTCTAGATGGCCGTAAATTAGTAGGCAGCTCCCATTTTTGAGGGCCATTATCTGCGAAACTATTAAAGCTAGAAGAAAAATAAAAGCATGTATTTGTAGGGAATTTTACTATTTTTAATTTATTTAATCAATTATAAATCGAAAACTGAATAGTTTTCGATATATTCAAGAAAACTAAAAAAGAAAAGCAGAAAACGATTCTGCTGATTGTAGCCAATACGCATGGAAATCTCTCGCTGTAGCAAATTTAGAACGCCATAATGGTAAGCTACCTATCTGAAAAAAACACACCTCTCATTTTAAAAAAACTCAGTTGTAACACTAATTGTTTTTATTAGTTTTTGAAATGGGTCCACTAATTTATGACCACCCCGTAGTTCTGTTTTTGGCTGAGATGGAGCGGTCAAGCACTATAAAAATACCTGAAACAGTTCGGTAGCGGAAGGCATTAAGTGGTTCCTTCATCTTTTAAACTAATGATAATCACAGGGTCTTAAATCCGAGTAGGCCAACTAACTCTCAGGCCCAGCGAGCAAAAGAATCAGTCGCGGTTTGCTACCAAAATATTCCAAATATTCTTTTAAAGCTCCATCCGAATCATCAACACAGCTGGTACTGCTTCAGGTCTTTCTACAACGATTGAATCAGTTTATTCACCACGCTGGTGACTGCATCGAAAAATATAAAAGTTTCAAGCTACTAACAATGTTCTACCGGCTATAATTATATGGTTGCCACTGTTAAATTTCCAATCCTTGTAACCACGATAGGTGATGATGCATCGCCAAGGAAATATCTGTGAGGCATTTGTATGTTTTGCTCGGAACAAACTGTCACGTGCAAGACGCTGCAAAGTCTCAATGGATCCATCAAGTTTTTTCTTTCCTGGAGGAATATTTTGAAATACTTACGTTTGTATTGAACTACACGTACGCCACCAACAAGGGTAAGGGTTACCAGTTCTTAATCTTTGTGTTTTGCATGAGAAAATGTAAAAGATACGATGTATCGGTAAAATTGCGAATTGGGACAAATCGTTAGTTATGAATGCGTAACCATTCCTGGAACATTGCTGCTAATTTCGTACTTCGCTTTCAAAACATATTATTGCTGGAGGTGGCGGATATTTCGGGAACTCAATCGAATGATTTCAATCAATTTGGAAGACGGAGCTTCACCTGTTGTTCACATTTTTTACTAACACAAGAAGCGTGCTAACAGAAATTCCTTACATCATTCTTTATCCTCTTGCAAAAATAACTTATATAGCTGTCTTAGTTAATTTTTTTGTTTCATTTTAAAAACCATCTTTACTTTTCTACATCTTATAAACGTGCCATCTCCTTTATTTTGCAGAAATGAAATATTTTTTTTGTTTTTGTTGTGATTATTCTCACTAAGTCTAGCGTAACTAATCAAATAATAGCTATAGCTAATGAATACAATTTCACCATTTCGTTTCAGTCAACATTCAACATAAACAACAACATAGTCAACATTCTGGCTCTTGCGCCAAAAAAAAGAAATCAAACCAAGTAACTAATCCCTCATGGTTAGTTAAATCCCATCAATATTTTCATTGAAACATTGATCTAACCAAGTGGGTTTAATGAGTCCATGAACTAAGGACTCATGATAATGGAGAAGTGTAACAACCTTTATAGGTCAAAGCGTTGTATATGAGGTAGAATTCTAACTTAACTCCTATGCATGGGAGGTAGGTTACCTTCCATCAGGACTTTCAGAAGGAAATGATCCACATTAATCCTCTGCATGGAGAAAGGCCTCCAACTGCCAGTCAGATCATTTCAGTCCAACAATTTTTTAAATAATAAAAATTCAGATCACATCCTAAAGCTATAACTCACTTTTAATCTTCAATAATTCCTTTTAGCAGACTGTAAAACTTCCTTATTATTTTACACTTGTAATCTAACTATGGGCACGCAGCTATACTTCCCCTGTACTCTAGACAATGTACTCTTCACATGTTTTAAGATATAAGAATATCTAATGCACACACTAGCTCTAACTTCTCGCTAGACTACTGTTAGGTTACGTATAAAATGGCTACACAGGACGCTGAAGCTCTCTCGTCACAAAATTGTTTAGCACTAAAAACTTAGACATCGTTAGCGGCGCCGTCTGCGTGCGCTGATAAAGCGGGGCATTCACCGCTGTTCAACTCCACGATTTTTGGAACACGGGAGGGCAAAACCTTTCGTCAATGTGAAATCTCGATGAAAATTGGCGCAGATAGACAGCACTGTTGGAATTCAAACGAATTTTATAGCCAGATGGAATTTGGAATGGAAGGCCATAAAAAGTGATCTAAGTGCGTGGGAGTCTGTCTGGGACTTTAAACCTTCTAAAACAAGGTGTCTCAAAACAAATTTTGGAACATCCGTGAAAGACTTGCCTAAATCTATCGACTGGAACGAGTGGAATACAAACCAGTTGTTGGTGCAAATGGACAACTAGTGAATGCCGAGCTAAGCCGGCCATTCACTTGAAGTATAGCCATGCCATTTGTCCTAAGCCCGGTTTTTTCACCCATTTCAATCGAAAAATACAGGCATGCTATTCACTTGTATTTAAAAGGACGCTAACTCCGAACAAAGGTAGGGGGAGCGATCTTTTTTCCCCTCTCTACAGCTACTTATCAATCGATCTTCGATTTTCCTCAGTCAGCGGATTTTAGTTTATGCAACCCTAGAAGCGAGGCTTCAATCGACGCAAGGTATTGTTCTTTTCGCTAGCCTCTTTCAGGGTCCCTCTGAAGCGAGACTTTAAACGCCAGTGTTTAAGCTCCGTTTTCAGTCCAGACGGAATTCCAACCACCACAAGCCATTTGGCTTATTTCCACAGATTTTGATGGTTTTTTCCTTCTCGCATTCCAAAATATCCAGTTTATCTGTGAAGTGAATGGCCGGCTTAAGACAGACTGCACCAAGCATGCGCCACCGCTCGTCAAACTATTCCTCTGATAGATGTTTCTCAGTCATGCGCTGCCTTAACCCACTATACCCCTGGGGGATATTATATTTTTACGTTTCATCGATACAGCTTTTTTCTCGTTTGATCTGATATTTATAGCTTATATCGATAACTGTCTTAAAATGATCTATATATTTATGTGATGATGCTACACCCTCATAAAGTAACATTGACTGAAATATTAGAAAGAGACCTCCTGGAGTTAAGAAGTGCCAGGAAGTGCCCCACCCGCTGGACTCTAAAAGTAATCTATATGCAAATTTCCAGACAGCTGAGTCGACCGGTGGAGAGAAACAATGGATTAGCAGAAGACTTTGGATTTGCATGTGTCTCGAAAATTGTGTCTTCGTCCCATTTCGTCCGGAAGTTAAGTTGAAATGTGCTCCAACAGGCAGGAATTACCATTTAGTCTTCGCTGAGGTGTGATGGAGGATGTTTTTAAAAATTCTTCCTTGAGGAAAATGGCATCAACGATTTGTATTCTAAAAGAAGAATACGTCAGAAAATGATGAATATCTCTATTAAGTATAGTTCTGGAATTTAAAATATATTTTTGGTGGTAATTTTTTAACGAGTTGGAAAATAAACTGCCATGGCTTTTGATGTAGCTTAGTTATATTAACGTCCCGTTATAAGCATCATGAGGGCTAATTTGGGACGGAACTCATAACTTTGAACCGTGGTCATAAGACAAAGGCGACACCTGAACTGACACCCTCCTCTCTAAACTTCGCACCCCATCATCTGTGACGTTTGACTAGATAGTCTGGGGAAGATCAGCAGGCACCCAACCCTTCCCGAGAAAAATTAATTTATCATCGAAAGGCCAGAACATTGGCGTTATTTATGGGCATACATTATGAATATACCGTTATAGGTGATTGTTATACACTGTTATATATATACCGTATGTGGATGTTTGGTTTTATGAGTGGAAGTCCACATGTCAGTATTATTCCGGGTCCAGCTCGGCAGCCCTTCTTTTGCCGCTACTGCAATGCGTGTAGAGCTGCGACTGGTAAGAGCTTTGAACAGTTGTTGTGAAACTAGATGTGTACATGTATGTGGGATTCCGCTCAAGGAACAAAATGACCACATAAGGGTTTACCTTTAAGGGGTAAGTGGTTTCGGATTTATGTCTAGGGGATTTTAAGGGTTCTAACACGTTAAAACTTAATACAAAATACTACTTAAAATAAACGAGGAGACTTCAAGATTAAATATAACAAACATTTATCAAAATACTAGGGGGAATTTACGAGGGGGAAAAGAGATATATGTACAGAA